ATTATTACTTCTCCTACCTGTGTACTTTTCAGTTGCGTCACCTAGTTACCTGTCTGCGTCCTCTGCCACAGTGGTGTCCTCCTGTAGGCACGACTGCCTCAGTCTGCCCCAGATCCAGAAGGCCCAGCACAAGTCCTGGAATATATTCTGTACTTCACGAACATTTGTCAGATAAATGGGCAAAAGAATAACAATTGCCAGATCTTTCAGCAATTGAGCATCCCTGGAAGGAGAGGATGAGCAATTTTTGTGTGCTATTTCTGTGTGAGGAGGTCCTTTTGTTCTTGAAGTCACAGAGGTTACTGAATCCTATGTCCAAACATTCTTCATTTTACGTACATATATGTGAGGGGAGGGGAGAGGATGGAAGGCGCGGGCATGTGTACACAAATTACTCCCCATCCAGTTAGAATGAAAATGGCTTTTGCAACTGGTCACTTGCTTGACTGCCTGAGGGTAAATATTTCAGTATCTGAAACAGACATAGAAGATGGATTGCTCCATCAGTAAGCTCACTCTTGAGCTCTCTCACAGGGCCTGGAGATGTGGGCACACCACAGGGAGACAGGCAGGCATTGGGTATCAGAAGGACCTAGTCCTCTGCTGGGGAGACCTTAGAGATCAAGGCACACGATTCTTGAGAAAAGCAAGGAATCACTCCTAAGGGCATGGCCCCAAGACCCCAGATGACCAGTGGACTTCTCTTTGTCTCCTTCATCATTCTTTATACAGTTACCCAAAGGCCTCTACAAGCCGGGCCCCGAGAAGGCACTGCCAACAGAACAAGCGGAGTCCTTGAATTCTCATGGAGCTGCGCAAGGAGTCTGTTCCATCTCTGGTTCCCGGGCAGAGGTTGCCTGGAGTCCAGGGTTTTTGAGAGAGTTTGTGCAACCACATCTAAGCTTGTGGGATGAGCCACAGATGATTGAAGAGACCAGACTCAAGGATGGGTTAGAACAGGAACAGAAGTGCACACTGCCTGTCTTCCAACCCTGTCTAGGCTTCTTGGGGAGCCCCACAGCTAAGCTGCTGAGATGACCGGGTAGGGAAACAGGGCCGTCACACCCTACCAAGGCTGGAGGGGGACATGGCCAGAGGTGTGGGTAGAAAAGGTGCGTGGCAACAGCAGGAGCAGCAGCTGCTACTTCCTGAGTTCACACAGGCACAATATGTTCTCGACTTTCACTGTCAGAAATGGGGGTTCCCATTTGGGCTCACTCCGAATGGTCCTCCAACCCAGCGTGGGATGTGAAAGGCCCGTTTCATGAGGAAATTCCCTGGTGAGATTGAAAGCGGGGTATGTGGGCACGGAGAGGTGAAATTTGGGAAATGGAAGAAAGAAACCTCATTAAGAGAGATGGGGTTTGAAGCTAAAAATTAAAATGTGCCACCCCATTCAGCCCTTAACTGCTGGCTTAAGTTGCTCTCCTGGATTTTGCTGGCCTGAATGGCTTGTCTACAGTCTTCTGATACATCATGAGTTCATCCACATGTATATGTCTATTAGAAGAGTCTTCCAGATTCAACAATTTCCCAGCTCTTTGAGCCCTGATGTGAGGGCGACGCGGATCCCATCCTGTCTCCAGAGGCTCCTGGGCCCCTCCTGGCACGCCAGGACAAAAATTCTGCTGAGCAGACGGTTTCCTGGCTTGATGCAGAGATTCAAAGATGGTTCATAAAGAAAAATAATGAGTCAGAAGCTGATTATGCATCCATCATTTCAATCTGTGTCTAGACCTCGAGGGGCACCCGACCCACTTCCCGCTCTCATAACAAGTCTGAGGAGCGTGCAAGTCCCATTTATTCCACGCGCATTTGCTTCTCTGCATCCCCAGTTCTCCACTTTCGATGTGGATTGGAATAAATCGCTTTTAAATTGCTCAGAGACACTGAGGAAGGAGTTAGAGGCAGAAAGGGTTATAAATGCAAAGCCTGACTAGTCTTTAGTGTCATTATTCCAAAGCCCAAGATTCATTCATTTCACTGCCTGCTGCTGTGTTCTGGGTATATGGGGAGGCTCAGAGATACACTGCCTCATTTTCATCGCATTTACCAACTGTTTTAGCCGTAATTCTACTTGGAGAGCTTTCATATATGCTAGTCAGAGGAACAGGCAATACAAAATGGGATCAGCAACATCCTCTGAAGGTACCAGTTTTTCAAGAATAAATAGTTGCTCCTTGCACTCAAAATTTCAATGTAATCCTTGGTTCCTGGGCAATATCTTATATCATGGCCCAGGCCTTCCAGACCCGCTCTCTGCTCCTCCCCAAATACCAGGGACCTCAGCTTCGGCCTATTTCGCATTCTCTAACAGGGTAAGTGGATGGTCGGCAAGGAAGGGTTCTTTTAAGATCTACAAAGCTGAGTAAGACATTCATGAGGCTGGGTTAACATAAGCACGAGACAGTGATGATGGAGAACCAGTGCTGCCAAATGTACTTTTAAAGGAGCTTGAGCTGTTTCCACATTCTGATGTGGGGGAAAGTAAAATGAGGCAAAAACAGCACTGCTGCCAAAGAGCCCTGACATTCTAATGCCTCCAAACATCCTCCTAAGACAGAAGGTGAACGCAAAGTCAACAGTACAAACCGGTGGGCACACTTCACTCTGGAATGGCCCCCGTCATCAGCCTGCAGATGACCTTGCATGAAAATGAAATCTTAAGCAAACCAGATCTTTGGGCAAGAAGAGAAAACCATAAATGAATGTATTCATGGCACCACATGCATGACTCGGGAGGTAGCAATGTTCAAACGCAGAAAGGAGATGCAGATTCTTTCAGCTGGTGAGTATCCACTGAACGTTCTTATGTTCATGGGTTTATTCATTAGGATGGTTCATGGAGGGCCTAGCAGAGCTTTGATTTGCTACCCCCTCACCAAAAAAAACTCCTGAGTCATGGTTATCTCCTGGGTGGCCTCCGTGACTGCGGACAAGCCCAACTCCGTAGTCTTACTTCCTCCTGTTTAGAATAAAGTGAATAGTAATACCTGCCCTGCCTGCCTCTGCTTACTTGTGAGAAGTAAACAGGACAACATTTGTGAATATGCCTTCCCACATTGATGTATCACACACATGGATCAGAAATGCTGTGATGCCACAGACGCTTGTCCACCCAGCCTCTGTCCTCTACCCTGGAAATGAAAATGCAGCCAGCAGGGACCAGCGCTGAACAATTCACTGTTGATAAAATGTGCTTCCCTCGGCCTGAGGAAACACTGGGGCAGAGATCAAGCTTGTTTCTTTGCTGTTGCATCCTGTGTGTGATGCCGGACACGTGGGAGCTGCTTGAGACATGTGTGTAAAATTCACAGAGAAGAGTTTATTTTTTTTACTATTCTGTTTGTAAAATGGGGGTATCATTGCTTTACAATGCTGTGTAAGTTTCTGCTATAGGGTGAAGTGAATCAGCCGCGTGGGTGTGTATACCCCTTCCTCTTGGACCCCTCACCGCAGCCCACTGCGCTCTCTAGGTCATCACAGAGCACGTGGCTGGGCTCCTTGTTGCTACACTGCAGGTTCCCACTAGCTAGTTTACACGTGGTCGTGTCCGTATGTTAATCCCAACCACCCCATCACCACTTCCCATCCAACTTGCTCACATGTTCATTCTCTACATCTATATCTCAATTCCTGCCCTGCCAGACAGATTCATCCGTACCATTTTTCTAAATTCCACATATATGTGTTAATTAATAAAGAGGATTTTCATATGTACTGCAATTCTCTTTTATTATCTAAGCAATTCATCTCTTTTATTATTTAAACAATTCACTGTAACCTGATGTATCCGTCTTATACCTGTGATGCTATTGTGTTCAATACTACAACCCTTCAATGGACTGTAGTATTTTACCTAAAGAACATGCAGCATTTTTAGGCAGCCTTCAGGAATCTACATTATAAACGTGTGAAAAGGTAGTCTATCTCGCTCAAAAGATGGGAAAAGTATGAACACTGACAGACTATATAATATTTATGGAGTCATTTTGGCTGTAACCTTTAAAAATGTATATATCCTTTAGCCCAGCAATTTCTGATAGGGAGAGATTTTCAAGATATATTTATACATGTACATAAACACACATACACATTTATTCTGGATATTTTCAATACTAAATATGTTGGATTAAAAAAAAACATTAATAAACATGAGGAATACATCAAAGCGCCAGCCAACCCTTAGAGGTCCAACAATATTCTATTTGCAGGTCCCCTAACTTCACTGGGTGCATCCAGAAAGGACAGAGACTGCCATGTGGATGCCCTTATGGTGACAAAACCATGCTTATCATGCCACAAAAATGCCCTCCACCAGTGGCTCTCCCATCTATTCACACACATACACTGAATTCTCCATCTGTGACAATCAGACCCTCAGCTCCTTGCCAAATTCTATCTTCCTCTATTTCCCAACACAGACTCACCGGGTTGGCCTCCTGACTCTCCTGAAGGTATCGTCTCCACCCTTGCAATCTGACTCACTCCTGTTTGTGCCAAATGCCCGGTGCATCCACACCGCACCCATCTTCTATCTCTCACACCTTTGGGGAGAGCCCCAAAGACTCTCCCCTTATCTGAACTTCTCCAGTGCCCAGTAAAAACTTTTTGAACAAGCCAATGTGATGAAACACAGAGGTGACTGGGGAGGTGTGGGAGGGAAGCACTCCAGGCTTGCTGAGAAAGCGGCTGCTCTCTGAGAAAGGGTGACACCCTCCCCTTTCCTGCTTGCCACGGTGTCTCCAGCCCCTCGCTTAATGGCTGGCACAAAGCAGGTCCTCAGTAGATGAGCCTTCAGTGGTAGCAATCTCCTTCCACAGTTCACTACCTTTTAAGCTATAACTGGTTTAATGTATCACTGCCCAGAAAGGACCAGAAGATCAATACGCCAATGAAAATGAAGCATGGGAGATGCTGATCCCATTTTCAACACCAACAGAAGCAAGCCTCTGCCCAACATCATGGATGCATTTTTATAACAACAATGGAAAACTCACCTTGGTTTCTCGGAGAAGAAACTGCAAGTCACGTCCACTGAGGATCCCATGGTTTTTCACGTAACTGGGAATGTTCTTCGTGCTGGAGCCGTGAACAGTTGCGTGTACTTCCGTGTATGTGTGGATGATGTCCAAGTAGACCTTCTTATTCTAGAGAGGGGACACAAGGAGAAGGCGTTTCTCTTTTCATTCTCATAAAAACCTGTCTCACGGCTGGGAGACCACAAAGACAGGAGTTCTTAACATGGAGACTGCACAGATTTGGCAATCCAACTCGTAAAACTTCTTTTAAAAGTAATCTGGCTGGACTTTGAGGGCAAAAAAGAGTCACATGGATGCTGTATAACTTTGCAAGAAGAAATATATTATATAGTGACCTACTGCTGAATACCAACGATGGCTCGAGGCTGACTGCTCTGAAGTACTGTCCTCGCCTTGTAAATTACCAGGGATCCAACACTTTTCTTTTGGCTTGTCTTCCTTATGAGGGAGGAAGTTTGGGGGAAGGAAAGCACAGAGCAGGCAGTCAGTTGGACTAGAATACTTATCTGGAGATGGTAAGCTGTCCCCGAGGAACACAAACATCCCCAGCTCTTGCCAATATTTCTAGTGACAATTAACTCATGTTGTCAGAACTGGATCCCACCTAATTCGGATCATGGGGAGATGAGCGTTTCCCACAGTATACAGTGATTGATTTGGCAGATAGGAGAGGTAATGAGAACATTCAGGTAGACAAAAGGTGGAAGAAAGATTAAATGTAGACTCGGATGAGTCCTGAAACATTCACGAGCCATCTTACTTTTCTTAGAAGCAAAACAGAACCTCTCGTCTGTTATTCGTGAGCGCTGAATTTGAGGCACGATTTCTAAACCTAAACCACCTGCGAGGAGAAAGGAGGCTCGCTCTCCCTCTTCATGTTTCTGTGTGACTAAGTTACAGAAGTCAGATTCTGTGGGTTGTCCTTTGAGGCTTTTTTTTGGACATTTGAAAGATTCAAGGTCTGTAATGTTTTCCAGTTGTAGGAAAGTGGGTCAAGGTTTTCCCCATTTGAAGCCTGTTTTCACACACTCCAGTCAAGTGTAATAATCGCCAGTTTTGTGACTTAGGACCACAAAGGACCTGGGGCTGTGGCATCAGTGGCCACTGAGCCCCTGACGGGATGCAGCTCCCCCACCAAACCAGCATCCTGAGCCCTGTTCAGCGTCTGCCCCTGCTTCACCACTCGGTGAGGATATGACAAAGCACTCAACTTTGGGGGAATACATGTTTCAAATCAGGCATCCAGAGTCTTCATGATGGAAAAACAGCACACTTCACAGTCTATTTTATGCACCAAAGAAATTTGTGTGGCAATAAGCAAGTCGACCTTGCACCCCTACTGTATGAATAAAACGAACACTTCAACTGAAAGTCTAATTTCATGCCATGTTTGGTGGGGCCAGAAAATGCTAAATTCATTACTTGAGAGATGTATACCCTCCCATTCATGCAGAGGTGACTAGGAACAGTTTACAAACCATGACTCCCATTCACAGCTTGAGCCAAATGTAAGATCTCCTTCCTGGTGTGAATAAACAGGAGGGGGTCTATGACATAGTTTTTGTGCTAGAGGGACCCGACCACGCCTTCTCAGGGGCTCTACCTAGGTAGACAGGGGCTTCTGTAACTCTGGCCCACCCCCTGCCACCGCTGATGGGCCCAGGTGTGTCTATCCTGAGGGGGGACCCATCCCCAGGCTGCCTGCCAGCCTGGGACAGAGTGGCCAGACTCAGGAAAATGAGCTGAGCCAGTTGGGACCCTCTCTAAGGGGCTTAGAATCCTAGTCACAGAGAGATGATTGCCAGGTGGCTGGGGGCTTTAGAGCACAAAGGTCATGTGGTGTTGGAGTCTGGGCAATTATGGACCAGATACAAGTCAGCTGCCAGTTTTGGGGGGTGGGAGTGGGAAGGGAAACAGGTAAGAGCAGAATGGAGCGAAGAAAAAGATGAATAGTTGGTAGTAAGAGGGACCTAGAGTGACTGAAACCTAGACATTCCTCCTGTAAGTGTGACAGGGGTGACTGAAGAGGGAGAGGGATGGAGGGGAAGGGGAGAGTTTAAAGAGGGGATGAGGAAGAAAAGAGATGGGGAGAGAAGAGAGTAAGAAAAGAAAGCAGGGAGACAGGAGAGAGCAGGGTCAGAGGTGCCTCTGGGTACCACCCCATCTGCAGCTGTTCCCTGCCCTAAACCCCCAGATCTTTCTGGATCCTTACAGTAACAGCACCTTCCCAGCACTTTTACCTGGGCCACTGCAGGGAGATTCCTACCATCCAAAAGGAGGTCTATAGGACATCAAGCTGGGCTTTTTGGCAGGGATGGGACTGGGTTGGGGATGAGGTGGGGGGCAAGCATCCTACCTTTAATAAAGCAAAAAAAAACACATTTCCCTGTGAAATGTGAGGGATGCTCACATGCTCACTAGCTCCCTGCTAACTAGTGAGGATGGACCCACAGCCCCTGACCAGGTCCGCAGTGAGCCACAAAGCAGAGCAGCGAGAGATCACCTGGGTCCTAACCTGGAGAAGAGCACTCACTGGGTTCCCAGACCAAACGCTGGGGAAGGGAGCAGGTGGAGACAGGAGCTCTGGCATTCATCCCAGAAAAGGCTGTGGCGCCTTGAAGTTTCACCAGGGGGTAAGTTTAGGCAAAAGTATTTGCCAAGGTCAATAAAGTCTATGAACCTATTAACATGAAAGCATGGTAAAATCTGAAAACAGAAGTACCCTTCAGAGCTGATTCTGTTAATTTCACAACAGGTTATGAGGGGGAATAAAAGTTTTCAGATATAGCCCTAACCTTTCAAGTTGACATGACAATGAAGAAATCTCCATCTCATGTTGCCACTTGTTCTGAAGAAATCAGGTGAACCACACAATGGATTCCAGGCAAAGGAATTTGAACCACGCATGATGAGTGCCCTGGCCCCTCCCTCCCAAAGTGAATGCTCACCAGATGCTCAGGGATCCCAAAGAGGCATGTCCGTAGGCTCCCAACCACTGTCTGAATTTGGGGTCCAAAAATCCAGCTGCCTCCTGAACCTCCCCATCTGTGTTCCAACCCTTATGGGTCAGAAAGGGAATCCAGTGCCTGACTTTCCCAGACCAGCATCGCATCACGGCCCCCCATGCCTCCCCCCTCCTAATCTCAGTGACTGGCATTATCTGCTAGCCAGTTACCAGAATCACACTTGTCATTCCACACATCAAATTAGTCACAAAGTCCTGCTGATTCTACCTTTGTAATAGCAAATTGTCTCCTCCCCTCCAAGCTGCAATCCTTGCTCACCTGGACTGGACTAGGATGAACACAACCTAAGATAAAGCAACCTAGGATGAACAGTATCTTAACAACCTGCCTGGAGCTCAAAAAGATGATGCAACTTGTCCATGGTCCAGCAGCCCTGGGACGGATTGCAAAAGAATCTGTATGGCTTGATGCCATTTTTTTAACCATGAAGAGCAGTATTATTCAATGGTATGCATATCAACAATACTTTACATGGATATTTGTAGTTAACTATAAAAATATGCATGGGGATGTTAGGTAACAACTTCCGGATATTAATTACTGAGAAGAAAAGGGAGGGTTTGGGGAGGTGGATGGAGCTTCAACAATATTTGAAGTATATCATTTCTGGTAAAGAAAACTATTGCACAGTATCAACATCTGTACATCTGGATGGTGGGTATGTTTTATATATTTCACAATTAAAAGAGAGAAAAATTAAAATGCATGTAATCAACAAAAAATAGAAACCAGTCGGCATGACACCGAGGCGTACACCATCGCCATCTCACGTTTCTTGCTGGGCTCCTGTGCCTGTACCTGTCAAAATCGCTTACTTGTCTCCGACTCTTTGCGACCCCATGGACTATGCGGTCCATGGAATTCTCCAGGCCAGAATATTGGAGTGGGTACCCTTTCCCTTCTCCAGGGGATCTTCCCAACCCAGGAATCAAACTCAGGCCTCCTGCATAGCAGGCAGATTCTTTACCAGCTGAGCCACAAGGGAAGCCCAAGAATCCTGGAGTGGTTAGCCTATGGGTAGCCTATCCCTTCTGCAGCGGATCTTCCCCACTTGGGAACCGAACAGGGGTCTCCTGCATTGCAGGCAGATTCTTTACCAACTGAGCTATTAGGGAAGTCCCCTTGTTGGGCTCAGTTCTTTCCATAAAGAGGTTCAAAGGATCTTCTTTTCTCTTCAGTGGATAATGCTATCTTTTGTGTTTAAGAAACAAGGATAAATTAGGAGGCTGGCATTAGCATCTAAACACTACTATTTATAAATTAGGTAATTCACAAGGATATACTATATAGTACAGGGAACTCTACTCGATATTATGTAATAACCTATTAGGAAAATAATCTGAAAAAGAGCAGGTATATGTACATGTATAACTGAATCACTTTGCCCAACACCTGAAGCTAATACAACATTGTAAATCGATTATAAATAAAAGTTTTTTTTATCTATAAAAATAATGTAAAATAAAAGTTGTTTAGAAAGAAAGAAGGTGCTGAAGTTCTGTAAGTCAACCATGGTCCTGGCCTGCCTTTCTCCACCCACGGGAAGGTTGACAGCAGGGAGGGATGTGGGTGCAGGGGGAAGAATATTTTCCAGCAGACCTCTCCTCTCCTGATTTTGGACATCCAGGTTCAAGGTCAAGGTGACACCCCGGAACTAGGGGTCCTGTTGATCCAAGAACTTGGTCAGTATCACTCCTTAGAAAGTTGTCTTCTCTGACTTAAGAGGACAAGGTCAGAGAAAATTACCTCCTCCATAAACCCTATTGGGCTTCCCTGGTAGCTCAGATGATAAAGAATCAACCTGCAATGCAGTAGTCCTGGGTTCAACCCCTGGGTCATGAAGATCCCTGGAGGAGGGCATGGCAACCCAACCCCATATCCTTGCCTGGAGAATTCCATGGACCGAGGAGTTCAGGGAGTCGCAAAGAGATGGGCACGACTGAGCGACTAACATTTTCACTTTTCACTTTCTTTCACAAACCTTATTACCTACAAATTTGCTGAGACACAGTCAGAAGGGGCTTGCAAGGAATCACCACACTGCAGCATGCCACCACCCCTGTCTCAGGGATGAGACATGCC